TTCAGTCAAAATGACGTATGCAGACTTTGACGAATAATAAATATGCAACTAAATATTATATAGTAAATACGTATAATAATCAATCTATTTTCCTAATATTTTTTGAGATTGTTTCAGAGTTTAACAAGACTGAATTGAACTGTATTTTAAGTTTGGGTACTTGAATTAAAACGGGTATCTATTATTATTACAAAATAAAACCTTCCAATATTCCACATGAATATTAAAGTGATTAAAATATACATTACTATTAGTTTTACCTGATATTTATATGTAAAGATCTATTTATATCAAAATTCTGAAATAATTAAATTTAACACGAAACAGTTGTTAATTTATTGTCCACAGGTACAAAATATTGCAATGATAAATGCAAAGCAACCTGCGCTAATCCAAACCCAAATTGCTCACAACACCCGGTATGTAATTGTAAACATGGCGAAGTCTGGTCCAACAGCAAGGATGGAAAATGTATACCGATAAATAAGTGCCCAAGTAAGAACATAATAATTTATTTTTTTAATAATAGTATCAACTGATTTAAGACTACTGATTATTCAATGAACTTAGCTGAAAATCAAATTAAATCTACACTAAGTTTGATTGATTTTCACAATAACATATGTACATATGTTCACATGCTATAAAATCACAAATTCTAAATTCTGGTTTTCTTCTGCACTTTGACACTCGACAAAAAATATGATATTATTCGAGCAAATGCTAGTAAAGCATCTTCTAAGAGGATTCATTTAATTATTCAACTTCTTTATTCAAGGACTTTTAATGTGTGTTGCAGAGGATGTCGGCTGTAACGGTGACAAAAACGCAGTGATCAAAGAAAACGTGCGCAGTTGTCAGTCAACTTGTGACAAACCCGATGTAGTAATTTGTGACACAAAGGTGCAGTTAGTGGGTTGTGTCTGCAAACCTGGTTATATACTGTCAAAAATAGGTGGCAAATGCGTGAAACCGGAACAATGTCCAGGTAAGGTATATCTTTATATAGTACTAGCTTTCGCCGGCGGCTTCGCCCGCGTGGTTCCTAAGGAAATGTTTAGTGAGAAAAAAAAATAATTTAAATAATTATGTAGGTATATCCAGAGTAAAGTAAATCTGACCTAAATTACTTCTATTTTTTTTCATTAACAATTTCATGTTTGCCAGTCAATCACGCTGCAACCACTGAACAGATTTTGATAATAATAAATCATACAACATCGATTATGACTATCTTATAATATTGATCTATATACGATGTTGTATGATCTACTATTTGCAGCAAGTACATACAGGTTCCTTGCACTTGACACTCGAGAACATGCCACATAGAGCTGGCCATGGGTAAAGCAGGGAATGCCCAAATGTATGCCGGCCACTTTTAGGGTTTGTCCCTGGGACTTATTGATGGTCATAGCAAATGCCAATTTCAATGGGAACTGCAGCCTTTTGAACTGGAATGGTAAATTGTGGGGTATAATGGGTATGCGGGGAATCAACACGCTCTCGCCTTTAGCTGCTCCTGTAAGAATTGTTGCTCGCAGAATGTTTCTTCCCAGTTCGCTGATTTGTAATCTTGTGCCGTTGCACAATCGCGGAGTGTCAAGATTACGCATCAACAAAACTGGGACGCCAACCTTCAGCTCCAGCTTGTGGGACGGTACGCACGTCAATTCTAATGAGTTGAGAAACTCCACGGGATACGCAGTGCTGTCCCAAAGATCTCCAAAGTGATCGGTCCTACGCTTCCCGCATCCAGCGGGATTATAGCGGGCATATATTTTATGTATAGTGGCTGAAATATAATAGCGGTTGTTGTAGATGAAAAAAATCAATTGCAAATAGTACTTTAACGTTTCAGGAAGTTATGCAATTTCAATATGTCAGTTTTTATATATTTGTGCATAAAAAGTAAATCAATAAGCTTTTATAAGTGTAGTGTATAGTTTATGCATAAATTTCTGACTATTTTTCAATTGCAGGTGGCAATCCTTGTGGAGCTAATGGAACCTACGTCAATTGCGCATTTGATTGTCCTTCGAATGTTTGTCCCCAAACTGACTTGAGGGGTGTAGTTGCATGCAATCCGCCAAAAAATTGTTATCCAGGGTGCGCCTGTAAATATGGTTATGTAAGAGCAGGACCAAAAGACAGGCGATGCATAGAACCACAATATTGTAGTAAGTAGTACAAGGGCAACGAATATTTTCGATGAAGGCAGGCTATACTCACAATTAGTAAACTGTAATTTTTATATAAAAAAGACTAAAAGCAAATCTACTGCATGCTCAAGCGGATTAAAACAGCGGCAATACTTAAAGAATCATTCGATGTGATAAGTTTTTTTATTTAAATAAACCTTGGAACCTTAGGTTTACTTGACTTTTCGCATCCACACTCAATGTAGGTATGCGTAAAAAGTAGATGTCAATAATTGACAGATCCATCTATTTAATTTATTTAATAAATATAAAAGGGAGCAAAAAAAAACGACCGGTACATTTCATGTAATAAAACCTTATAAAAGGGGAACATTACATTTTTTTTAATCAATCCATTTTATTTCAACAATCCTACAGCATAAAACCGTCTATGCTACTGTGTAAAATCAGTACAGAAAATACTGGGCCGATTTTAAATATCTTTTTACCCACAGAAAGCTAGATCATACACGGGTGATATAGGATATAATTGATGTGGTTTTGAAGACTAGACATTAGAACCCCCGTTCTAGAATTGAAATTTTAAGTCCCATAAGTAACAGCCCCAGTTCTGGAATTAAATTTTACAATACGAATGATTTGTTACTTTTATCAATCCTGCACTTATTAATGCATACTTGTTATTTCAGAGCCAGTCAAGTGTACAGGATGTAACGAAGTATGGGACCGCTGTCCCCAACCATGTTTCTCAGACAATTGCGAAGATGTATTGTACCCAAAACCTGTATGTCAGACATTCGTGAAACCAGTGTGTAGCCCGCGATGCGTCTGTGCAAAAAGATATGGAAGAGACGACAATGGTGTATGCGTATCTTTAGAAGAATGCAGTAAGTTTCTTTGATGATGTAAAGATTGTTTGTTCCGGTGGAATTTTCAAACTCAATTGTGAAGTAGATATCTTCAACCGATTGAGCTTTAAATTTTGTATAATACGTTTAATTTGGATAAAATATTATAAACTCATAAAGCTATTTATAAACAAAGAAGCAAAAGCACAATTTGTACGGCTTACAACAAGTTATTTCATTACTTTTATAAATCCAAGTGTCAAAATAATATAATATGTTCTACCCCACTGTCTTGAGGTTTGAAATGGAGTGGAAACAATTTGACAGTTTTGTACAGTCTGACGTGCTGTTGACTGTACTACGTTTCAATTAACAAATGGAACTCGACTTCGCTCGAGTACCATGGCACGTTAAGCCATTGCACCTGAATTCATGAGATTTTTGTTACTACCCACATATCCCCAATCTCAACAAAGTTTGCGATCGCAATCTTATCAAATTTTGTTACTTATTCATAGCGATCGTCATTTTTTATTGTTCATAGCAGATCAACGGTTGTATCAATGATTTTACAATATCGTTGACAAGTAACAGATCCACACAGTTAATCTTAAAATTAAATAACAATTTTTAGTTCCCTCGGAGTTCTACACAATCCCATCACTTCAAACTGCTTTTTAAATGCAGAAACCCGCAAATAGTTTGCAAACCTTTTTGCATGCTTCTTGATAATCAAATTTTTTCAAACCCAAGATTCCATAAGACTGCTTCTAAACAAAAAAAAAATATATATAAAAATGTAATTCACTAATATAGGTTAATTTTGTTACAGAAGAAATATGTTCATGAAGAATGCTGAATCGTCCCTTGTGAAAAACATTGAAATATTTATTGGGTATTTTATAAAATTCAAACATTTTTTTAAACAATAAAAAAATATTTTTTTTTCAATTATACCAACTAATGCGTAGCAATAGAGATCCTAATCAATACTGTTTCAAATCACCTTGATTTCAAATCTATGTCTATTTCAAAATCATTACTCTTATGTTTTATTTTTGGAAAGTTTATTTTTGTTTTATTTTTCAAAAGAATAACATCAGCTTGTCTTATTAAATGATTTAGAATTATTTATTTTATTAAAAAATTATATCTTTTTAATTATGTTTTTTAAGATTTGTTTTAAGTATTTTGTTTTTATTAATCCTGTTAGAAATTTTTGACAACAAATAAAATTTTATTAAATTCACGATTGTTTTATTATAGGATTTGTATATATGGCTCATTTACACGCGTCGACAACGTCCGCGTGCGCGTGTACGGGCGGTTTATATTATTTAATACAGTTAGTTTCAGACATATACAATGTTTTACTGACCAATAAGATAAGACAAAGGGGTCGCCCGCGCTCCGCTTTTAGATCCCGTCAACCAGTGTAACTGAGTCTTTAGTTAAATATAATAGAAACCTTCGTTTGCGCAGAGCAGACCTACCAATTTCGAATGATCAGAATCATAAAAAAATTACTTTGTCCCAGGGACAAAGTGGATTTTTTAAACATTTTTCATTAACAATATTTTTCAGTATACCATTGCGAATGCAAAATTGATCAAATATAATAATAAAAAACTTATTTAAATCCATAGAAATATTTCATATAATGAAGGGGCTCAATTAGCACATTTCCAATATATTTATATAGACAGCTTTTGCTCAAATGCACCCGAAAATTAATTCAATATAAAAAATAAGCTCAAAAAGAAAAACCCGACTATTGCGATAGCTTTATTATAACAGCGTTGGCCGAAGGACAGCGTAGTCGATGCCACTGATCATAACAAAACAAACTGTTGTGGCATACGTTCGTTATTATAATATAACTGTCACTATAATATAATTTTATTGTTCTTTTAAAAATTGTGTGGTTGGTCTGTGCGGAGTGTATATAAGATAGATTTGAAATAAAAAAAAAAGTTATTCGTCGAGTGGCAGCCATGCGTCTAGTAATCATCTTGTTTGCTTTGATGAGTCAGACATTTGGTGGGAGCTTGGTCGAGGAAATAAGTGAGTAAGGTTTAAAATTCGTGATATTTTCCTTGTGTTGTGTTATTGTTTTTTTTTTTATAATATGTAAGTACATGTCTTTTTGTATACGCCAACATTATAAGGAAAGATATGATTGTTCGTTTGCATCGAATCTACTTCAGAATCACTGGACCGATTTTAAAAATTCTTTCACTAACGAGAAACTACATCATGCGAGAGTGACATAGGATATAATCTACTCGAGCGAAGTCGCGGGAAAGTAGCTACTTTTAAATAATGAAACTTATATTTTTTATATTAAAAAATATTGAGTTGTACTCCTCTTGTACAATATTCACAGTTACAAAAACAATAGTCTTCTAATAGGAAATTGAGGTGCATAAAAGTATCTTAAAATATATATTTTCTGTGTTATTTATTAGTAACACTATTTATTTACATATATTTTAATGACTACTATAATTATTTAGTTGCTCAAGGATGTGTTATTAATTAGTGTGAAACGGGAAGTCAAAAACTAGGCAGGTGCTCTTAATAACGACATTCAATATGTAGTGGTCTGTTCATCATCTGTTCTGCTCTAACTTACGTTCTTTTAAAGTCAGAGTAGGATAGAGGATGATGAAACTAACGATATAAGGAAAATAAGTTTTTAGAGTGGCGAAGCCGAGGTTTTTTCCTCCGTGTTGTTAATTTAAATATTGTTTTGGTTTTAATGCTTGGCGGTTTTGAAGTAAATTGGCAAATATTGTGAAACTCAGTCCATGTGGCCACTAAGGCCGCCCGTTTCTTATAAAGTAAAACAACATCTTTTGCTTTTATTATTATTTATATCTATACTAAGTAACGATCTGATTAATTTTAATTACTTTACGTACAAGAAGGTACATTATATGCGGATGAAGTTGTGGGAAAGCAACCATCTTAAGTTTTTTTTTTTATTATTAATTAATTGTGATCACACGCTTATACGTCATGCTACAATAGTATGTCAAATAACCTCAATTGATTTTGAACTCTACCTTCAGCGTAGGTCTTAAGGTTCAAAATAAAATCAAGTGGAGAAATTTTAGTTTTGTATAATCTAACGTCCTATTAGAATCGTCCAACTGTACATTGATGAAAATACGCTCTGTAGTAGTCAAAGTCAAAGTCAAAATAATCTTTATTCAAATAGACTTCTTAAAAGTACTTTTGAATCGTCCAACGTTTTTTCCCTACCACTCGTTCAGGACTTGAAAAGTTCGTCAGTCTTTTTAGGTCCTGGGAAGCTCAGTGGTTAGTCACCCGGATCGCGAAAGGTCATAGGTTTGAGTCCTATCTCAGAGTGCCAGGGACAAAGTGGATTTTTAAATATTTTTCGTTAAGAACACATAATTAGGTCTCCACAAAAACTTGTTAGTAACGTAATTACCTTATTTATGTTACATTTTATACATGTAGTGAGACAAATAGGGGTCATGGATCTAACCAAGAATACTTTTCTCAGGAGTCACCGTCAATATGATACATAAGTACACATCTCTACATCATATTAATTTATAATAGTGGATTACAACTCATGTAGGCAACAAAAAACGAGCTGGGTATAACTGAAAATTAGTTTCTGCTTCTGCACATAACGTACAGGAATGTACACTTGAATTCAGTTCCACAAAAACTGGTATTAAAATCTTATATGATGCTTTGCTGACAACTTAACGCCAATTATTACCAGGCAAAACACTGGAACGATGACCATAAAAAATCACAACAATATATAAAATTAATGTAGATACACCGATTCGAGAGTATTTTGGAGTATTTTGCAATAACACTCCTTAAGTGAAGTCTGGAAATTTTATGCTTTTGAGTACCGCAGAGATAGGTTCACGTTTAAAGAACAAAAGTCTATTTTGTTAAACTATTGCATTTTTAAGGTTCAAGTAATTAGAGCAAACATAGTCTGTCTGCCATGACGCCCTCCCAAAAATGACTGCCTAGATAGTTCAATTCATATTCAAAGTCAAAATTATCTTTATTCAAACAGACTTCTTAAAAGTACTAGATGATACAACGTCCAACATTTTTTCTCTAGCACTCGTTCAGGACGTACTTTGGCTGATAAGAAGAACGAGCAAGAAACTCACCAGCTTTAATAGGAGTAATGACATTCACAAAAACCATGTCATTAAACCATATGTATGCGAGACGCTATGGGTGAGCTTGTACACAGCTTTCAATTCTGTGGTAGTGATGCTTCAGTCGTCGTCCGAGGAATATGTGTTCTTATCGCTTTTTGGCATACGTACAATCGTTATCAAAACGTCAGAGAATGTATTTTCACATTGAAAACTTCTAGACATGGAATCGGATTTCATTAATAACCTTGGTTGAAAGTAGCAAATCAGAAAATTCATAGTTTTATTTTTCTAGGTTAAATAAACACATATTTGCTAGTTTGCCTATATTGACAGAACTGTTCTCTAGATTGGTAATAAAAATATAGAATTTTGATTTCAGGTGACAATCCTTGTGGAGTTAATTCAGTTAAGGCCAGTTGTGCATTCGACTGTCCTTCTGATTTTTGTCCTCAAGATGACTCAGGTGAAATAGCTGTATGTGATGCTCCGCAAAATTGCCCTCCAGGATGTACATGTAAATATGGTTACATAAGAGCGAGCCCTAACGACAGAAGTTGTATAGAACCACAAGATTGCAGTAAGTATCAAAAATAATTAAGCTATCGTTATAAATAAACATGAGAGACCTTCAATATTAAAGTGAGATTCCAATTGCATATTATGTTAGAACTCCAAACACGTCTAGTAGGCTATTGATGTTACGTGCAATAGTAAATGGAATCATTACACTAGAAACCCAATTTTACTCAATACATAAACAGTTGCAAAGAAATCAAAGTGGAACGTTTTCGAAAAGTTACCAGTGACATTTTGAAGTTACGTGCGTAGGTTAATTATTATCTCTAGTCATCTAGATAATAAAAACTTAAATTCAGTTGTTAGGAAAACGGCAACGAAATGACCAAGTAGCAACTTTTTCGTAAAAATTATGAGGAAATTATGTTTTATCAACACATATGCGTTAGATAATTATCAATTGACGCTAAGGGGTGATTTCAGAAGGCAAAAATTTTGGGTGACATATTTATTTAAATAATATCAAGTATTAGGTTAATCTAACTAGGTACTTTGACATTTGAACACAACTGTTTTAACTAGTCCTTCTTTTCATACTTGCCTCAATTACTTGGTTCACTTAACAGCGTTAACTTTTTCGTGACATATCGCTTAATCTAGTGGACTTTCAGGTTGTATTCTAAAAAGAACATTTTGTTCACCTACGAGCAGTGAAATTGTCTTTGGTCCATTGGTTTCCTACAAAAAATCAACTTTTGCTAGAGTCATCATCTAGTGGAGGTGCTTTTTAGTGCTTTCTTTTTTTTTAAAACTTCCTCACTGCAAACTACAAAAGTGTTGCCTAGCTTGTTGTTTTTATGACATTTAACTAATCATAGTTACTTTTGCTATGATATCGAGATAGGCGCTTATATAAAATGATTTCTTTTTTTATTCGTACATCTACCGTTTCACTATTTCAGAGCCAGTCAAGTGTACAAGAAGTAACGAAGTTTGGGATCGTTGTCCGTCTGCATGTTTTTCGGACGATTGTGCGAATGTATTGAACCCAGCACCTGTATGTAATACTTTCGTCAAACCAGTATGTAGCCCGCGATGTGTCTGCGCAAAAGGATACGGAAGAGACGACAATGGCGTATGCGTTCCTATAGAACAATGCAGTAAGTAACTTCACATGGCATTTTATAAATATTTTAATATCATCGAATGATTATAATATCTTTGTCTTAATCTACACCGTTTATATACCACGGAGATGTTTTTTTTATTTATCCTAATAATACTTGAAAAATCCATTTGAAATACCGGTTTGGTACCTAAAAAGAAAATTGTAAATATTAAATTTACAATGTTTTCTTTATTTGATCATCGTTCCAAAAAAGAATAATGGCTGTAAACAATCTATTATGTAATTCTTCTAAGTCCTAAAAAAAGATTTTATTTTATCGTCGTTACAAAATAAAAAGAATAACAATAGATATTTTATACCCATCATTATTTTTTGTGTGATGATAATTGTATTACCCAGGTAATTCCTAAAAAAATATTCTTAGAATCGGATCCGTGGACAGCATGGTAAATAGTACCTGTAATGACTATGACATAGCAAGTAAAAATCAAGAGAACTTTAAAGATATGATATTAATGAGAATTAATGAAAAAAAAATGGTTTAGAAATCCACCTGTCCCAGTTACTGGGACTTAACCATTTTTCATTAAGATTATTTTTCAGTATAGCATTGTAAATGCAAAGTTAGTCAAATATAATAATGAGAAAAAAAAGTCTTTATCGAAAGTATTTCTTTCATCTATTTGGGTAGATTGCCTGAACATTGATGAAAATACGCTCACTAGTAACGAAAAGTAACAAGTGCTTGAAAAATTCGTCAATCCTGTTAGGTCCTGGATAGCTGAGAGGTAGAGCATTCGCCCGGCTTGTGATAGTAGGTTCGAGTCCCATCTCATAGTACGTGGAGCTTTGGATGATTGTGGATTTTTAACCATTTTTCATTAAGAATATTTTTCATTACAATGCAAAATTTATCAAATATTATAAATGAATAGAAAATAAAGAGTTCCTGATATTTATAATGGAAATGTACACAGGATCTAAGAACACTTTTCGAGAATTGCAACACATAACACATGCAACTCTGTGTAAATTAACTGTTTCTGGAGGATCACAGATAAAATGCAATTATCATAAGAAATAAAAACCCACCCTTCGTAAATAGTTTGAAAATATTTTTGCGTGCAACACTTTCAATGCGAATTCAATGACTTTTATTAAGACTTTAAAACAAAAATTGTTATAAATCATATAATGAACTAATATGATTTATTTTTGTTACAGAATAAGTATGTTTATGAAGATTGCTGATCGTCACATGTAAAAAACATCGAAATATTGTTTCATAAAAATTTTGATATTATATTATATTTTTTTTGTAAAAAAAAAAATATTCTAGATTTTTTTATTTACAATTATACCTACTGTGTTACTGTAGAGATACTAATACTGTACTGTTTCAATTCACCTTGGTTCCAAACCTGTCTCTGTACAATTAAATATTATCTAAAATTTCAACATTCGTTCTACTTAAGCAATATTATTGTCATTTGTTTTATTTTTGGAAAGTTAGTAAAGAAAAAACACTTGTCATAATAAATTATTCGGAATTTTTTCTTGCATTTATTTGAAGTATCTTTTGTTTTTATGAATCCTGAAAGAATTTTAGATAACAAATATATATTTTTGTTATAATATTAGTGTTTGTTTTTTACTACAATACTGTGGCATAACCACTAGTAGATAACGTCTGTGTACAGGGTACGGACGATTTCTGTGGTTCGCTTCCATTGGTCGGTTAACGTTTGCGCTTGAAAATATAGTCCTCTGCTCAATGGGAATGCACATTAGTTGTTTCTTACTGTTCCTGTATTTAGGTTTTTAGAAATATAAATAAATTTTCTTTGTTATTCTTATTGCGTGTGAATTAGTGAAAGATCCAGCATTTGAAGCAGATTAAGACTATATGAGTTTGTTTCGACTGATTTAAATAAGTACCAGAATTAGATTACATTACTCACTTCATTGCATTATATACTGAATGAAACGTTACCTACATTATAATCAAAATTTTTATTTTGTTTTATATTTATGTATATTGTCCAACAATGGATTCTGTGTAGTTACAAGTGGACTATATGAGTGAGTGAGATTGTTAATGCTTTGGATCCTCGACAGAATTTTAGTATCCTCATAGTGAAGACCCAGAATCTTCTTGGGTAAACGAACATTTATTTCCCTAATCGATTTATTTTTAATTTGAAGGGCGTTAGCAAGCTTATTGTAAATGTGTGAGAAAATATAAGGTCTGAATCGCTGCGCGTAGCTAGTTTTCATCACATGGCATGGTATCTTAAGGCAAAATATAAAGTCTGAAACGCTGCGCGTAGCTAGTTTTGATCACATGGCATGGTATCTTAAAAACTCTTTTTCCGAGTAGCGATTTATACTGGCTGGATGCTACAACTTCTTTGTGAACAGAAATTACTACTAGATATAAAATCAACTTCCTCGCGCTCAGTACCCCAGCTTCATGATAGAGCGATGTGGTCGAAAAGAATCGATTTTTGAAAAGAGTATTATTAGTACCGCTCTTTGTGCTCTCTCTAATACAATGATAACACTCTTTAAAGTAACTAAAATGCAGTAGCTCAGTATCGATTGACAGAAGGTCGTGTACACCGTTTTTAAAATATACATATAGAACAGAAATAGGATGAAAACGATAGCATATTATACTTAAAATGATAAATAATATTATTTCAACTTAATTTCATAATGTAAGTAATATGGCGTTTTCATTGTGACTATTCTATTTATCTGAAAACGAAAATATTTTATCTGTTTTTGAAATGCTAATAAATGGCCAAAAACACGCATTTTTAAAACATTGACAATATTCAACAATATGGTATTAAGAAAATTATTTAAGAATTTTTATTCCACTAAACAGTTTATTTCGAGAACTATGTTTTTAAACTTCCTTATATAACGAGAATAAAAAAAATCGTGACTTGTATAATTTGCGTATGTACATAAAATAATTTTATGCGAAGAAAGTTAATAAACAGGTATGTTTTATGATTACTATAATAAGTTTTGCAAATACAGTAACTGGAAAAAAATTTAAAGGGTCAACAACATCGACATGTTTAGTGTAATGTGACTTTTTTTTTAATAAATACCTTTATGACAATAAGGTGGGACTGCACCATAATTGCAGTTATAATTAAAGTTTATGTGAAATTTGACAATATTTGACTTTAACCTTGACCCTAGAACGTTGTACCATCCTCTTTCTTGGCACAGATAGAGTTATGACGTCATCCAACCATTGACAAATGATAAGTTATTATTATTTACTTAATCGGTACTTTAACATGTCTGTTATTGTTTAAGTAAGTTGTTGTACGTAATCCAGTTATTGTAGTGACACGTGTGTGTTTTATATAATCAAAGATCTTTTTATAGTAAATTCCTTATAGTGATATCAATAGAGTCACATAAAACTGAATGATTATTAAATGATTTCTTGTTAAATTGAAGCCAGATCATATTAACTAAGTTTCTCTAATTTGGTGAAAATTGCGCCTAACCTTTAACGAATTATATTCCAGACAGCCCAGAAGAAAATTTGTAGGACATATATGGATAGTAGCTGTAACACCGTTTGTATAGATACCTAAGAAAAGATTTTTTATTTTTCCAGCAATAATATATCTAATCATAAAGGTTCTAGCTACGCAAGAACTAGCTCCAAGTTTACATCGCACCAGCGAATGAAAAAGCAGCCTGAGGACTTGGAATGCAAATGAAATACAGAATTTCAGCCAGTCACCCAGCACGACAGGAGTGAAACTACAGAAACCTGAAATAACTATAAAATTTAGAATTTATCATAATAAACTTACACACAATTACATTAAAACATACACAGATCATATAAACGGCACGTCACAAAAGATGATTTCAACTGATGAGATTTTGAAATCATTCTAAATATAATATCGTAGATTTTATTGGT